GGGTGTGGGCGTTTTATCCTCTCTTCGCATTTTGTCTCGGGAAGCAGCACTGGTCTCGCTGCGCCATGAGCTTTGCGCAGACAGTGCAGCAGCAGCAGCAGCAGCAGCAGCAGCAGCAGCAGACACAGGAGCAGGAATTGCTGCTGCTGCTGCTGCTGCTGCGATTGCTGGTACAGCGGATTGCAGGGAGGCTCTTGCTTCTGCGCTGGATGAGCTGCCGCAGCTGCTGCAGCAGGCTGAAGGCGCTTTTGCTGCAGCAGCAGCAGGGCCACCACGTGCAGCTACGCCCAAGCAGCAGCAGCAGCAGCAGCAGCAGCAGCTGCAGCAAGCTGCTGTAGACCTTGCAGCAGCAGTGCTGCGGCAAATTGCGGCTGTTGCTTTCTTTTTGGACTGCGTGCTGCCCCCTCCAATTTTGCAGCAAGTTAGCACCGATTGCTGCTGCTGCTGCTGCTGCTGCTGCTGGCGCCACTGCAATCGGTGCTGTTGCTGTTGCTTCTGAATAGTTTGTTTTTTTGATGCTGCTGCTGTTGCTTCTTCTCATGCAGGTGTTCCCATATCTTGGCAAGGACGCACCACAGCAGCTGCAGCAGCAGCAGCAGCAGCAAGGACGGAAGCAGGGGGATCCGGAGAAAGCAACAGCTGATGAAGAGCCTGCAGCGACAGCAGCAGCAGCAGCAGCTTCTGCTGCTGAATCCGCCGTAGAGCCGTCGCCAACTGTTGGAGTTTCTTCCGAGCCGCATCAGCAGCATCAGCAGAAGCAACAGCAGCAGCAGCAGCAACTGCAGCAACAACAGCAACAGCAGCAGCGACCACAGCAGCAGCAGCAACAGCAGCAGCAACAGCAGCAGCAGCAGGGGCGGGAAGAACCGAGGGGCAACCTATGCTTCGATAGGAACCAGCACCCGCTGCAGCAGGCCCTCCAGTGCAAAGACCAGCAGCAGCAGCAGCAGCAGCAGCCGCAGCAGCGGCCACAGCAAGAGCAGCAACAGCAGCAACAGCAGCAGCAGCAGCCGGTCTGCGTCTGCTGCTCTGCGGAAGCTCGCCAGGTGCAGGATTTGGTGCAGCAGTTGGAGCAGCAGGAAGCTGCTGCAGGGCTAGCAGCAGCAACGGCAGCAGCAGCAGCAGAGAAGCAGCGAGCAGCAGAAGAAGATGGCTCCTTGTCAGATGATGAAACAGCAGTTTCTGTTCTGCTGCTGCAGCGGGAGGCGCAGTCTGCTGCTGCTAACTTGCTGTACGTGCAGCAGATGCTGCAGCAAGAGCAGCAGCGGCTGCAGCTCCTGTTGAAAGATTGCTGCTGCGCTGCTTCTGCAGCAGCAGCAGAAGCAGAAGCTGCAGCAGAAGCTGCACCCACCTCAGTCACACCAGCAGCAGCAACAATTGACGCAACACTTAGTGGAAATGCAGAAGCGACGCTAACACCGCCAGCAGCAGCAGTAGCAGCAGCATCAAGTGCAGCAGCAGCAGCACCAACTGCAGCAGCAGCAGCAATGGAAGCAGCGCCAGCGGCAGTAGCAGCAGCAGAAGGAGCAGCAACAGCAGCAGAAGGGGGAACAGAGATAGAAATTACTGAGCCACTCGACGATGGTCAGGCAGCAGCACCAAGAGAAGCAGCAGCACCAGCTGCTGCTGCTGATAGTGCTGCTGCTGCTGCTGCTGGTGCACACGCCGTCGCTCTGCAGGACACAAGCCAGTTGCAGGAGCAGCAGCAGCAGCAGCAGAAGCTGCAGCCGCTGCTGCCTCCAGTGTACCACCCAGGGCACGCAGATGGCTCAGCAGCTGCAAGCAGCAGCAGCAGCAACAGCAGCAGCAGCAAGAGCTCCTCGAAGAGGCGACGCATAGACGTATCTCCGCCGGTTAGCGAACCAGACGAAAGTCCAGCAGCAGCAGCAGCAACGCTAGCAACAGCAGCAGCAGTAATGCCAGCAGCAGCAGCGGCAGCAACGCCGCAGGCAGCAGCAGCAGCAGCAGCAGATGACCGGCCAGAAGAGCTTCGCCAAAGCAGCGGGAAAAGGCGCAGCAGCAGAACCGCCCGCACGAGCAGCAGCAGCAGCAGCAGCAGCAGCAGCAGCAGCACGGCAGCGACTTTCTCAAACTCTCCGCCCCACAGAGCGAAGCTGCCGGGGCTGCTTGAGCCGCAGCCGACAGACAAAACAGAACAGTAAACCCTAAACCCTAAACCCTAAACCCTAGCCCAGAGCGTGGGGACAAACCGTAGGCCTTGCGCTATAATGCAAAGCCCTAAACCGTCGCCCTTAACCCTAAACCCTCAAACCTAAACCCTAAACCCTTAACCCTGATTCCTTAAACCTAAACCCTAAACCCTAGAGGGAACTCTTGAAAGGTTCAAGGCTGGACCAGAAGATGTAAACCCTGGCGGCAGACCCAGACCTAAAACCCTAGACCTAAACCCTAAACCCTAAACCCTAAAATCCAGCGCTTAACCCTAGAGCCTACTCGTTGACGCCACTTCTGTCTGCTGCAGTTGCTGCTGCTCCTACTGCCGTTGTTGCTGCTGCTGCAGGGGGCCTCTCCTGCAT